TACTAGTAGTAACAAGAAGCTACTAGGAACAAGTGCATCGCTACTAGCAACAAGTGCCTTACTAGTAGTAATAAGAAGCTATTGTTTTTAATCTATGTTTCTGTTTTGTTTCATTTTTTCTAGTAGCTGCCGTAGGAGTTTTCAAGAGCTACTACCGACTGGACGCAGGAGAGCTCGCGCTAATGATTTGGTTCCCTAGATGTTTAGGGAAAACTTAACATGGGTAGCTCCTGGCAACGTCTCTAATTTTGATTAAAAAACACCCCAAATGCTCTGGCAAAAGTTCAGTTCGCTTTGAAGGGGTTTTTGAATCCAGCGGACCAAAACATGCGTTTGGTATAACTTTCAAGGGAAAGGGACAACAGTCTGACGATTCAAATCTTGAAAATTCATCGTTCAGGCTGCTTGACTTTTCATCAGCGAGGCCAGAAGCAGGCTTTCTTTCGTTCTTAAAGCATTTGTCATAGGGCACAAGGAATGGTTTGTCGGCCATTTCCTGCTAGTGGATGTCTGTAGGAGTGATGAACCGCAGCGTCAATACAACGGAAGAGTGCTCACTTCCCCTACAAGATGAATGTATAGCCTGGGGGCAGTTTGCATATTTATTGCACCCTCTCTATTTCGAGGGTCTGAATTACCTTTAGACCCAGCTCTTATTGCCAGGACACTTCTTGTATCTTAATACATATCCATGATTGAACTCTAGTTTTACCAAACAGCGACAGCCAAAAGCATCGCGGATCCATCAGGGGACAGGGCAGGCTATATGATGCATGTTCATCATGTTTTTCTGAGCTTTCTCATTTCTCGAATGGTTTGACAGAGCACGGCGATGGTTTGCGAGGAATGGCTGGACAGATTTGGCACCCGAGTCCATGCTGAACGATGAGTCGGAGGCCTCGGAAACAGAGACTAACGCGAAGTCTGGGAAGTGTGCGAAGTGCTGTTCAATCTTGGCTCCTTTGAGCAAAGCCAAGAGAGGCCGGAATGAGGTGCAAGTTCTGCCTCAGTTAAACTGAGAAGAATCATCCAACATGTACAAGTTTTTTGCAATTCTTTAGTGTGGGTGACACATGCTGGTCGTGGTGACCAAGTGGCGACAAGCAGCAAAATTTGCGCTTTGACGCCCCAATTGCGCTTTGACGCCTCAATTCGTCCTCCCTGTGATCCTTCTGAGTTCAATATCAGCAGTGGGAGTGATTTGCTTCACCAAATCGATTCGGCGGAAGCATGAGGACTCCTGGTGCTGTTTTTTTTCCCGACAAGCTCTTGTTTTTGTGCATTTCCTGAGCGTTTGTCTAAGTTGCATGCAAGGTGATGCGTTTTTGTTGGAAACCAAGGAGATCAATTTTCGGTCATGGGAGGGCTCCCGAAAAGTTTTTGATGGTGCCGAAGATGGACATATACCCCTGGTTGAAAAAAATCTCGCGGCCCTTAAGGACATGCAGCATATCCATGAACGTCCCTGGCTAGCTAACATTTTGAGTATTCTTTTGTGTCTCATCCTTTTCCAGGGTAGGTCCAGTTTCGTAGAAATCTTGTCAGCGCTTGGCAGACTTGACAGCTGAGAGCCTGTGCAGTACAGCGGAGCAAAAAATCGAAAGTGCTGTTGCCTGTTACCTGAGCCTTCAAGAATGCGAACTAAATAAAGAGTTCTTGTGGCTTTTGTAGGTTGGTTTGTTGGAATGTTTGCAAGCCCACAATAACAGTATTTGTTCCCAAGGGTTTTCCTCAAAGAACGGCCAAAATCGACGGTCCAACCATCAGGCCATCGCTAGTAGGTTGAAGGTTGTTTTATGGTTGTCTCGTAGTACCGCAGGAGAAAGTACGAACATCCGGCTCTTCAGTTGTTTGGCTCTCCAGCCTTAGCTCTGATGGCATCAAAATGGCTGAAATGTTGTATCGTGTTTGGCCTTGGAGTTGCATATTTTTCACTCACAGCTTTTGGGCTGTGCAATGACGCCTTCTGGATCGCTGAGAGTGGCACCTCCAGTGAGTGTATGAATTCGATGATGAGTTGGCTTCAAATCGACCTCCACGAACCGCTGAGTATGGTCTCTCCAGCTGCGCCAACGCTGGTCTCACACCATCTCAGCAGTCCAGGGACGGAAGCAGCGATTCACTTAGATCCTCCAAGTCGGGAACCATACCACTTTGCACAGCCGATGACTGATATGCATCGTTCGCAATTTGGACAAGACAAAGCGCTGGAGCCACTTTTGTCTCAAATCAAGAACGGTTTCTTTGTAGAAAGTGGTGCTCATGATGGCGAGGCCATTAGCAACACTGTCTACTACGAGTCGTTTGGTTAGCAAGGTTTGCAGAACCCAGCAACCACTATGCATCTATTCTTCGCAAACACCGAAAGGCTTGGGCGTTCAATGGCGCGCTGTCTCCAAGTGGCAAATCACAACAACTGAATTTCAGGCATGGTGGTGTGCTGGGACATGCTGACCCCACAATTTCGACTACAGTACAGGCAGAGCCACTAGCAAAGCTTCTAGCGGCCATAGACCCACCGCGAACCACAGACTCTTGGTCTCTTGACATTGAAGGAAGCGAATGTGATGTTCTTCGTGCTACTGACTTTCAAAAAAATCACTGTTGCCGTTTTCCTCATTGAGATGAACAAGTCAGAAAAGAACAACGCATGCATTGAAAGTGTGATGAAGAGCAATGGTTTCCAGGATTTGGGCCGCCTTGCCAGCGATAAAGTGTTTGTCAATCGAGCCTATTTTCAGGAACGTTATCTTTTGATCCCCGAGCTGGTCAATGGTGCCAAAAATGCATCGAACATAGCTGTGCCCACAGAATCAGCGATTCACTTAGATCCTCCAAGTCAGGAACCATACCA